GGAATTTAGAGAATCTTTAATTATGAATATCTTTCGATATATTTAAAAAAATGGAAAAGAAGCTAGTTAATTTTAAGCAACCAAATATATCGACATTGAATAGATTTTTAAAATTACCCGCTCTTGTCGCAAGTATGGAATATTTTGAAAACTTCAAAAGTATTAATTTTTATTCACCCCTTTTTTCTCATAATATGTCCGACTTAAACATTGACAATTAAAACTTCAATTAAGGGAAGTGCAGAAAAGAGTAGTTTTAATTGCCTGGTTACAGTTCCTTACCCCTTGTGACACATCTGAGATTCAACGCTTCTGTCACTGACCAGTGCAGTTTGAATTCTGTCCAGCAAATAAAATCCATTCTATCCATTTTAGTAAAAGTGCATTATGACAATCCTTCGAGAATTTGTGGAATGTTTTTTTCCAAGTCAATGAAAATAAAAACCAATTTGTACTATATAAAAAATAATTTCACCAGAAACGTCTCTTGAATAAACTTACATGATGCTAAACATTACACTTGCTATCGTACCTTTTTCTTAAAACGTTATCAATTCCGTAGACACTAGTAAACTAACATCCCTGCTCCCATTTGCAGAAATATACAGGCCAGAGTTCTCAGTAAAAACCTGTAATAGACCCCATAAATCAACACAAAAAAACGAATGCCGCTCTGGCCATCAAATTGCCCATTACCATGAAATAAAACATTATTGATCTGAATAAGTTTGTGACATTGTAGCATTTTGAATAAATGAAAAAGGTGGAATGGACTTTGGATATCATTGTAAAGAAAATAAGCAGATCAAAATCCGTTCCAGTGGAGTATTTTGTGTCAAATATTTGCCACGTTCTTACAACTAAACTAAAAATAAATGCCGTTTATACCAAATTTTGGCCAATGCAGTTTTTTAGAGGGCCACTTGAAAATGGCAGATAACTGTGTGCATTTGTTCTGAAATAAAAAAGCAAGTTGCAAGTTATTGGACTTCGCTTCCAAATACTGTGCACCTATTAGATACACATATAGCCAAGGTTCTTTTGTGCAATAAGATAGGTCCCTTGAAGGATATCAAAACACTCCTGAAAGTAGCAAAAATTTGGAAACACACACACACACTAAGGGGACAAGGAATCAACTCAACATGCAAAATCTGCTATTAGCATTGTTTTTAATATCTGATCTTAGCAATATTTTATGGTTTATCTTGGACCCATGTATAGGGGGTTCAAGAATTAACGTGTTTCTGGATAACAAATAACCAGAGTAGTGCAAATTACAGGGGCGGATCCAGAGCTATTTACTGACAGTCTTCCAAATTATCTTTGTCGATTCATCCTCCAATTTTGACCGTCTTCCAACAGAAAAAAAATAGATACCCGTCAATGTAAACTTGAAAATCTGACCGTCTTCCGGAAGACCCAGAAGATGGCCTAAATCCGCCCCTGAATTACCTGGTTACAATTTCCCCCTTGTAACACTTCTGACGGTCAGTGTTTCTGCCACTGGCCCGTGAAGTTTGAACTCTGTCCCGCAAAAATCCATTCTTTTTAGTGGGCCTAAATGTGCATAATGATCATCTTCCAAGAACTTATGGAATATTTCCATCCAAGTTAACGACAATAAAAATCGATTTGTACTTGACAACAACGTCTCTTGAATAACCTTATATGGTGCCAAACATTGCACTTGCTTTTGTACCTTTTTTTAAAAAACGTTATCGATCCGTAGACACTACACTACCCAGTACAGCCCCGCTCACCTGAGTTCTGAGTACAAACTTGTGTACTGAACACATAAATCAACAAATAAAACTTTTTTCTATGAATATGAATTTGCATCGCCTTTTAAGGTCTTCCATCCTATATATTGACTGTCCTGCAACCATTCACATCCATACTTACTTTATTTTCTTTGTCTGATTTGAATTTGAACGATGCTCAAAATTAAACAAAAGTGCATTCATGCCAGGGACCTTTGAGGATCAACAGTTGATTGGTTGGATTTCTTAGAAAAGGCAATAGCGAAACCGAGGTGGGGTATAAAATACGGTACATAGGACATTAACTGCGTATTAAAAGAGGAGGCGTGTAGTTCAACATCTGAATAATAGGCCTAATCCGTTGTACCAAGCAAGAAAACAAGGATTCAGGTAATTTATTGTTTTTACATTCCTTTAAAGAAAAATCATCAGCCAGTGTGTTTCAAGTATGGTGAAATTATTTCATTAACATTTATGAAGAAAGATCAGGACAGGAACTTTTGACATGTGTGGTTTAACGAAAGCTTTGTAAAAAAAAAAAACGATAGCTTTTTTCATAAATGTTGAAAGCACGGAGGAAAAACTGAAAAAAACTTTCGGTTGCATTTTTCATATTTCTCACTCTATTCCCAATGTGATCTTTAGTTGTTAAAATCAATCAAAACAATTCATCACAGCAAATTGTTCAGGGTAGAAAAAATTACTATCTACATGAAGGTACAAATCCACGTATAAATCTGACTTTCTTCTTTTCGAGCCTCTAAACTGGTGACTTTTCTCGTGACGTTTAAATTTAAATAATTAAACTTCCAAACTGTAGAGAAGGTTTACAGATCACTACTTTTTCAGCAGTTTCGGATGAGGTATAACAAGATATCAGGAGGAAATTTGTTGAATATTTTCAGAAAATTTAATGATATAAATGCACACTATGTGCTTTAATTGCTTTATTCTCCGTAGCAAGAAATTATTTACCAGATCCTACTCGTTGATATTTCTTTAGCATCTAAACCAGCTTAAAGTTTTAGTTATGGAAAGCACGCACTTTCGGGTGTAAAACATACATTTAAAACGAAAACCATTCACTTCTTTGTTATGTTCCCTTTTAACAGTAAGTCAAAGTTAGCTACGCCTTTTATTATTATTCTATTCGACGTGGCCAAAAAGAGTGTTTACTTGATATTTGTCAGCAAACCTCATTATTAACGGCAGCTGGAGTCACGTCATCGGAAATTCCGTTTAATTTCTAAGTCGTGGTCACTAATCCGCATTTTTGCAATTGTCTTTATTTCTGATGGCGTGGCTTTCATTAAGAGATATTTTTCAGGGGGCTTTAGTTTTTTAAAGCAATCTATATGTCCTAAGTTTACTATAGTAATCACTTTTCAGGTCTTTCCAAAATAGTTCCTCAGTCTTATTGTTGATAGTATCTCTCAATTTATGTCTCCTTGATCTATGTAATTTAAAGTTAAAAAATTCAATGAATCTAATGAAGATGAAAAACTTGTAGAAGTTCAGAGTCTCACCTCAAACTAGAAAGGTGGTAAACTGACGATAAAGGCTTCGAGTTGCCTATAGGCCTATGCTTATATATTGCAACGAGAAATATAAACTCCGATGTTCGATATGTTTCAAGGGTTTTTTTATTGTTTCAAGTCAGCACAAAGTTAGATGCATTACTGAATAGTTAGATTCAGGAAAAACTTCAGTTTCGGTATCTGGATGATAATAAAAAGTTACAATATCCTTAAGCTGAAAGCAGTTTAGCGAGAAATCCCTTGGAGATGGATCGATCCCGTTGGATCGATCCTGTTATATTGATCTGGGTATGAGAACCCAGTCTCATTCTCCGTAGCAAGAAAGTAATTACAAGATACTATTCGTTGATATTTCTTTAGCATCTTAACCAGCTTTAAGTTTTAGTTATGGAAAGCCCGCACTTTCAGGTGTAAAACGAACATTTAAAACGAATATTATTCACTTCTTTGTTATTTTGCCTTTTAACAGGAGGTTGGGCAACAAACCTCATTATTAACGGCAGCTGGATTCACGTCATTGGAAATTCCACATCGAAAGTGAAAGTTGCTGCGTATTTTCCTAATGTTTTCTACGTCTTTTTCAAAATATCGATAAATACAACTTTTAAATGTACATCTAAAACAAATGTCATTCAATTCCTTTGGGCGTAAAATCAATGGACAAAATCTTCGTTATTATTTTAGTAAATGCCGGGAAGTAAAATAATAAGAATACTCTTTTTTTCAATCACACTCTTTTTTTAATCATTGCACTCAGTGACAAAAAGGCCGCACTCAGAACAGTGGACTTACTAGTCCGAGGGTCAAATATGGCCGACCCACTTGAAAACTTCCCCACAGGGAAACTATATTTAATATCTATTAGTGGATTAGACGGCAAGCTTGTTAGTGGGTCGTATATTTGCCCCTCGGACTAGTTAGTCCAATTTTCTGAAAGCAGCCAGTTTTCTAAATCTTAATAAAATTGGAATGCCATGAAAGGGGGCTGCACTGATTTGTGACAAATTAACCTTGGCCTTGGGAGGAATTAAATTAATTTTAAAATCATGCTGCATAAATAAATAAGTACAGATAAAATAAGTTTTGTGCCTCTAATGCTGTCATAATATTCGCTCAAAATACAACTGAACAAACAAGACTTAATTTGTATATAAATTTATTAAGTTGCTGGCTAAACTACATACTGTTTATTGACAAATTGTAAATCTATAAGAATAAAACCTTTATATTATACATTGAGAAATCTGAAAATTCTCCAACAAACAAATATAAAAAATATAAGGCATATCTTTAAGGACCAAGTTAGATTTAAAAATACCGATTAGGATTTTTTACAAAGAATAATACTTTAATGTATTGTTTGCTTTTTATAACTCTTTTGTGGGTATAAGTAAAAACCAATTTGAGCACTGTTAGACATGAAAAACAAAAATTATAAACAAAGCAAAAATATAAATATCCCATATGGATTATTTACCTAACATATAATGGGCAACTCCAAATGAGCTAATGTTGTCTTATAACTGAAGCACATTGAAGAACAAAATTCACTTATATATATATATATATATATATATATATATATATATATATATATATATAAAGCCCTGAAATGCTGGAAAGTATTGCATGGAGCATTTACATTTTTACTCAGTGTGTGTGTGTAAAACGTACAGTGCCAATATTAACAATATGATATTAACTCAACTCAGTTAAATCAATTTATGTTGTATATATATTATGCCTATCATTGGTTTAAAAACCCAGTCCTTACTCACTTTAACATAAGGGACCATTCCCACAGATATTTGAATCGATCTATCTCCCTGGGGAGTTTCAATAAATTGCTATCAACTTAACAGGCTTAAATGTCTGTCACACTCAGTAAAGCTATAAGGGGGTAATTATCTTACCCTAGCTGATTCAGTAGGCGTGACAGACATTTAAGCTAGTCCAGTTGATAGCAATTTAGTGAGACTCCCAGGGAGTTAGACCGATCCAGACGGGTCAATCTAGGCATGGGAACCCAGTCTAAGTTAACTAAAAAGCATTAATTAATTAAAAAAAAAACTTATCAAACCACCATTATAATCAAAATGCTAAAAGAAATCCCTTATTATCTATCATACCCTTCTAATCCAGACCCCTAATTTTATAAATCTAATGGAGTGACTTTACTTGCAGAAAAATGTCTGACAAGAAGGGATATCAGGGCACTGGAGACAAGCCAGATCTTGACAACCATGGTAACCAATGTAATCCTAACAACCCGGAGTACCGAGGATATACCTCTGGATACTCTGGGAAGGGAGACAAGCCTGACCTCGATCACCATGGCCAACAGTTGAATCCGAACAACCCCAAGTATCAGCCTAAGAAGTAGAGGGCAATGCTGTACAATCATGGAACAGTAGTTTAGCATCTTGGATTAGATTTTTAACCATTCTTGATTTGTGTGAAAATCCCTAGAGAACATGTGATTTTTGAACGAAGAGACCATCTTTCAAATTCTGTTCTATAATCCTTGCAAATGAACTAAAAACAAGAAGGAATAAGACAGTCATGTTGACATTCTGGTGACCAGACCTTGTGTTATACAAACAACAGTATCACATACAACTGTGAATAAGGAAAAAATTCTATTCATCCTGACAATAAGTGACTCTTCAGAAGACACGCACTAGACAAAATAACTGCAAGTTATACTCTAAAGCAATATTTGCAAAATTTCCAATACTTTGTTGTAATCTTTCTAATATTTAAGTCAAATATTCCTAATATTCAAATAAAGATCACAGAGTATTTTACTGGTTTTTGTCTTCTTACACAGAAAACATTTACAAATATATATGAAAATATAAAACCAGGCATATTATTATATTAACAATTAAATTGCATTTTAAAAATGATCCAAAGCACTGATTCTACAGGTCTCAGTTAACATAAACCCTAGAAGCCAGTTAGTTTGATGAGTATTACAGTTTATAAAAATAAATCATAAATTTCATAATAAAAGTTAACAAGTTATAAAATCAACATTTCATAGATACAGCTTATGATAAACCAAATGCGCACCACAGTAGGTCCCTGTTACATCATGACAGTAACAATAAGTTCAGTACCCTGAAGAAGTCTATGAGATAGACAAAACACCACAGCTCAACTGTAAGTTAGTATCAATATATGATTTAATTTTTCATTCTTTTATTTGTATCACACTTAAACAGGAAGAACACGAATATACACTTCAATACATCTCTCCAGGTTTAGTCCCTAAGCTTAAGAGTGCACCACACTCCTCCTTTGGGTTTCAAAGTGGCTTCTTCCAGGATCTCCAATGGACTGCTTCGGTCTACTTCAAACTTGAAACGCTGGATAAACTTGGCCATAATTATCTTCATTTCCATCTGAAATAAAAATATGCATTTTCCATTTAAATCTCCTCTCCTCTATCCTTTATTATTACTCTTATCTGACTTAATATTTAAAATACTTCAATACATATTTCATAAATTTATCAAAAACAAACATCTTAGCTTGTTCAAATTACTGATCTGGATAAGTTTGCTACAGCATTTTGGATAAATGAAAAAGTCGAGATGGACTTTGGATATCATTGGAAAGAAAATAAGCAGATCAAAATCAGATTTCAATGAAGTATTTTGTGTCATAAATTTGTCCCTNGGAGATGAAAGATGACCTGAAGGGTAACACTTTCCAATAATATTATTGGTTAAGTCTGTGTGGTGTCTGAATAACAGGGAAAAAAAATTTTTTCGTAAAAAATTTTATTTTTTTGAAAATTTTGGCCCGTTTGACCTTGAAGTAAAGGTCAAAGGTCAAATCCAAGGGCATATTTGAAATCTACACATATGACTTTTGGAAAGCCATCTGTAGAAATAACCCCTTCCGTAGGGTAGATAATTAGCATTTAATTTTGCCATTTTTGGACAAGGGTGCATTGCAACGAGTGCCACACCCAGACCCCAATACCGACAAAGCCCAAATTTTACGTGGAACCAGTTGAGATTATAGGTGACCTAAACCCAAGAGATGGGTACAGGGGCCCTTACCGTCTAGGAGGAGAAGCGGTAACGGTAGCCGCCCGGCGGAGCGATCCGGACGGAACCGAAACCATGTGTACCGCCAGCGCTAATGCTGGTGGTACAATAATATTAGACAAGTAATTGACGCTGTATTTTCTGCCTCCCTTTAAATAAAAATTATAATAAAATGAAGTACATGTATGTTGACACACAGTACAAATTATAAAAAAAATGCTAGATAAGTCAGTGAATTAAATACTGCATTTTAGACATCATTAACTTGTAAGAGTCTTCAACTGATATCTTGATGGTGAGATTTGAACTAAAAGTGAATAAAGACATTTATAAGAGAGGTCTTTCTTAGGGCACATTCAGAACAGCAGACTAACAGATCCACGGATCAAATATGGCCAACCCACTTGAATGCTTGTTGCATAATCCCTGCAGGGAATCTAGTAAGTATCTAATAGTGAATTTTAAAAAGTGGCAAGCTTTTTAATGGGTTGCCATATTTGATCCACGGATCTGTTAGTCTGAGTGTGCTCTTACTAACGATGAAAAACATGAGACTCCTCATCTTCTGGTTTCAGGATTCATTTTTTTTTTGTTGCATAACATACCCCAATTCCAGTTCCAGCTGGGAGTAAGTAGTCCCCAACCATCATGTCTTTGTTCAGTTGACGTAATGTGAGGCCAGCCACAGGATAGAGTCTGAGGCTTTCTTTGAAGACATTCCCCATGTACTTAAGGTTTTTCAAATCTTCAAAGCTCACGGCTGCTTTTTGACCAACAGCAGACTCTACCTCTTCCACCAGTCTGTAAAAATAAAAGCAAAGTGGCAGCATAAAAACTTGAACACAGCTTAACATTTATTTATTCTTTTTTTTTTGTATATACCAGTATATATAAAAATAATGATATGATTTTTATAACGCCCCCAAAAAGCGCAATCCCTGTAATTAATTTATTTTCAGGTAAACCTTTCAATATACATGTATGGTATTGATCTTTGTACATATTCAAAAAGTTTTATCCACTCAGAAAAATGTTCACTTTCTGCTGATTCCTTGAATCTACATTCTACTGACACAAGTACTAATACATATAACCAGAGTAATGCGCAAATATTTGAAAATTTCTTCATGTAAGGTAATATCATTATAGGACAATGCAAATTATAAACTACTCATTCAAATACTAAATTCATGTGGGCGTAACACAAACTCCCTGAGCATTTAAGTGGTCTTTACTTTTCAGGCTGTCTATAGGAGGATTATGTTGCCATATCTACATAATACATCAGCCAACTCTCACCTCTGCATAACATCAGGATGATCTGCAATGACCCTAAGAGCAAAACTCAGAGTATTTCCAGTTGTTTCATGACCTGACAAGAGATAGTAAGGTCATCTAAGATTTTCAACAGGCTTAAGCTAAGACAGATTTGTGAATGATGTTCTTTAATGAAACATGGCTTAGGGCCCAATCAAGGCTATTGGTAGCAAAATACTGAACTATCATACAAACAGTGTTTCTACATCAAATATTTTCCTACATAATTATTAACTTACAATTTTGATCCTTAATATAACAAAATTAAAATTATTTACCTGCTAAGAAAAACACCATTACCAAGTCCAACATATCTTCTATATCAAGATCAGGATCTAACTCTGTCAAACAAAAATGCATATAACTATAGAGCATATATCACACGTACAGCACATATTTTATTTTAAACCTGAAGTAATTAAGTTTTACACAGCCGACTATCTAACTTTAGTTAACTGCTTAACATTATAATTAAAATGATATTGAAAACAAGACATGAAACAGATTTCCTCAGAAACGTACTTTTAAAGAGCTTAGTTAATGAAAAAATGATAAAACTAACCAGAAGCTTTGATAATGTAGGAGAGGATATCATTTGGGGAATGCTCTCCTTTAGACATGGCCATCTTCCGTTTCTCGATGAATTTTCTACCTTCTTCTCGCAAAAGTCTCACTGCTTGTCTAACTTCTTGATGGTAGGAGTAGTGAAATATATTGTACTATAAAAGAAAATATTTAATGCACAGATTAAAGACAACTGTTACACTGTATCTATTTAAGTGAAAATTATCAAATTCAAACTAAAAAGGATAAGTGTGACTGTGATCCTTGCAAGATAAATGCAGATAAACTTGTGATAAGAAGTTTCTAGGACCACAAAAAAGCCCAATATATTTTGACATGTTCTTGATATATTGCATTATGCTACACCATGTAGTTCTGGGCTTGGTATGCTCTGAATGGTTGAGAAATAGAAGAGGTATATACTATTTATTTGTTTAGGCATCAAGTAGCAATAAAACTTGAGAAAACACAAGATTGACCATAAATGTCACTAACATGTGTAATACAAATGTATTGGTTTTTATAGTACACATAACATGGTTTCATGTAGGCATTTGTAGTTATGAACCAACTCCACACTACCCCCACTGGTGGAAAAATACTTCTAAATCATTACCTCTTCCATCATACCGGTAAACATCTTCTCAATGCCCTCCAGAACTGTTTTCACTGCTTTGGGGAAAGGAACAGTGTCATTGTGGACAGACTCTATCTCCGTGTCAAAGGCAACCTGCACATAAATCCAATATCAAATGTATACAACATGGCACACTCTGTTGTATCACAATCTTCCTCAGCTAAAGATAAATTCCATATGATTTTTTTTGCATCATTAATTTGGTGAAAAGGAATATGTTATGTAAACCATAAAATATATGCTATATGAGCATGTCTTTAAGTTTACATACTGTACATTATAAAAACAATACCATGTTTTAAACATAAGATTTTTCAGTAGTAATAAAAAACATATTTTTCAAAAATAATGTTTCAAATTTTTTTTTACAAATCTGTAATAAGTGTATAAAGTAATTTTTTGTTTTAAACAAATTAAAAGATCTTTACCTTTCCAATCACATCAAGGGTCAACCTACAAAACATGTCATTCATATCAACCATAGTTTTCCCATCAGCCAGCTCTGATAACTTTTCCATGAGTGAATCTGCTGCAAGATTGAACTGGTCTATCAAACTCATGAGAGCCCTGAAATATAATGAAAAATCCCACTCAGACTCAAGGTAGAACATCTAAAGTAAACAAAATTAATCATCAGTAAACTAAAAAAGTAAAAAATATTCAACCTAAACATTTTAAAATGATTGATTCTCAAGTTTACTATATGTTTACTGATTATTAGTTTGTATTTAACTTATTTTTTTAATTATCTGAAAGCACTATATCAATGTGTTTTAACGGTACTAAGGATATTTACACTCTCTGGAATGCAGGATTCATGAGAGCTCTCATTTTGGACCACTCTGCGTGATGTTCAATGGTCACTAAGCCACTCTTGCCTATGTACCTGGAATAATTGAACAAGTTCTGTATTACACTCAGCATTATGTAATTACATACCAATCATCACTTAGAGTGGTACACCCACATGTATTATGTTGCCAAAAGAACTGTAAGAGTGCATTCCCATAGATTTAGATCGATCTATCTAGATCGACCTAGCTCCCTGGGGGTTCACGCTAAATTGCTGTCAGCTGAGCGTGCACAGTAGTTAATTACCCCCTTACAACTTGACAGACAGTGTGTGTGTGTGTGTGTGTGTGTGTGTGTGTGTGTGTGTGTGTGTGTGTGTGTGTGTGTGTGTGT